CACCTTTCTGTTCTTCTCTTCCGCGGTACAGTGGGTGTCCAATTCCGGCAACGGGGTGCGATACCAGGTTCCGGATTCTTCTCCGGCGAAGGTTGATTGGGTCTGTCGGGCGTCGCGGGTAGCATTCTTCTCCGGCTACGGTTTGTTGGTCGCTGTTTTGCATCGCTTGCAGGTTCGGTGCTGGAATTGTGTTCTTCTCCGGCCGTGGGTTGCTGCGCCGTCGATTGTTGGTGCGGTTGTCATCTTCTTTTCCTCCGGTGAAGTGGGTGTTAAAAGTTTGTACGATTTTGTGAATTGGGGTGTTGATTGTGGGGTTGTGATTTGGTGTAACCGTGTAAGATTTGGTTGGTTTGGTTGATTACAGAGGTGGTGGTGGTTTGTGGGTGTTTATGCACTTTTTGGGGACGGGGGGATTTCGACGCTAGTCTAGGTGATCGAGGCCGGTTCGGTGAAGGGAAAGGAGTTTGCAGTGCTGAATAGTCATTTGTTAGTGGACAAAAGGGTCATTTGGTATTTCTAGATATTTTAATTTTTTTAATTATATAATAGTTAGGGCAGATAAGTAAATTTACTGCATAATCTTAACTGGGGAGGTCTTTGCAACAAAATGCCAAACCTCAGCTTTAGTTGTATATAGTCCAAACCTCAAGGGAGGTCATTGTAGTTTGCCCAAATTTTAATAAGGCGCTCCACTCCAATATATTAATTAATGAAATGACAAAAATAATATTTTACTAAATTACTTCCTCAACGTCTTCCGACTATTTTGCTCTCTCTCAATGCTTCCTTTTTTGCTCCAACATAACCATCAAAAGGCCATATTTATTAGCATTAACACCAAAACTAATTAAGAAAATTGCTCATCTTTTTGTGAACTTCAGTTTCACCCGAAACGAATGAAATTGAGAGCACTGCTATAAATTATCATTCCTTCTCTATAGTAGTACATAAATAAATAAAAATAAAAATAAAATCAAACATACGGAGCACGACAAAGACAAATACGTGTAACAATGTTAGAATTAACTTTTCAACTAGAAGAAGAAGCATTCAACTCGGTCATAGAGAGCAAGGGTTGATTTTTCTATTACACTAACAATGGTTGTATATTGATTGAACTCATATGAACAAAGGCACAAAGTCAAAAAAAATCTTGGAATTGCTCATCTTATTTTGAACTTTGGAATCACCACTTACAGTGAAATCGAGAGCTTAATCTTTTACTATTGTTGAAACAAATTGTGGATAGTAAATTACCACTTATAGTAAAATTGAGAGTTTAAGTTGAAACAAAGTTAACACTGACACTTCAAAGTTTTTCAAAATTATAGAGTTTGAGTTCTAATTGATCTCTCCTTACTATATTGGAGATAGTATACATGTTCATATAATGTACCATAATTTATATATATTTTAAATAATTTAAGATTATTATTTTTATTTTACTTTTAAATATATAGAAGTGGATCGTTTAAATATTATTTTAAAGCGCGCGAATGAATAACAGTTCCTTTTCTTTTTTTTTTTTAAATAAAAAAATTAGTAGGACCCATCACATCAGTTGAGGCTGTTGGGAATATCGGTCTCATTTACTTCGTCTACTTGGAGGCAAACTTGAGTTGATAGATAGTAATAAGTAATAAGTAGCGCTTGCTATCCATTAAATATCCAACTCCAACAATCACTTTCCCACCTAAAATATTATATAAAATGTTTTGGTTTAGGAAGGCTCCCAATTAAATGAGAAGAAGACTCTTAAACTTTTGGTTTAGGAAGGCTATAAAAATATTACACAAATGTGTGCATCATTTTTCATTTTATTATGCCATAATTATATATGATATGAATTTTTATTTATTTTATAATTGAGTTTAACTCCCTTTTTCTTTTTTTCTTTTTCTTTTTTAACAAAATGATATCATATTTTATTTTAGTGTTTGGGAGTTGCAAGTTGCAAGAGGATCGCTGCCGCCACCATTCCAATTGACCAAAAAGAGAGCGTGAAATCTGTGAGGTGCTGAGTAGTAGTAGGAGTATAAATGAAAATGAAAATGAAAATGAAACGTGAAGCAAATTCAAATTCATTGTATTTGTGAGTTAGGGAGGAGGTGGGAAAATGAAATGCTCGTATGGAATTAAAAGAAAGTCAATAGTCCACGTCTTTGGGCTGCGAAGCAGGGAAGGCAATTAAAGCCCCTGGTTGTTTGTTGGGGCAATACTCATCCCACACAATGTACATGAGCCCCTCTCTCTCTCTCTCTCTCAAACAGTTGTCAATATCTGTAGTATAACAGTACTTAAGTTTTATCAATGCTGTCAAAACATATATATATATATATACAAAGGTTATTTTCGGTAAGGCATGAGGTACATACATAGCCTTTAGTACTTCTATTTACTCGAAAATAACACTACGCTATTAAGTAATCGCCCTTGTTCAAAATTAAAGAAAATAATTACACACACAGAAAGTAATAGCCCTAGCTCGGCCCCCCCCCCCCCTCTCTCTCTCTCTCTCTCTCTCTCTCACACAGACACACACACACACACACAAGTACACACACACAGGTATCCGTGGATAAATTTTGAAAATAAATTGAATGGGTGAGATGGGCAATAGAGATGGGCAGTTATTGTTTATGATTTTGTTGATCACTAATAAACAAACCAAACTAAACTACTCTGGTTATTGAAATTAAAGATGACAAGGGTATTATTGCCTACCAGTTTAGCTGAAATAGCTTAATGATACCCCTTATACCACACCATGGAGCTGTAACCCAATTAATTCACATTAAAGGCATTCAAAGAAAATGATGATGACATGAAACCATTCATCAAAAAGTAGGTTTGTTGTCCAAATTTATTTTATTTTCAAAAAATGTTCTAAATTAAATAATTAAAGAGTGCCCAATCCATGTTGACATGTATCCGTTTCTCGCTCTCTCCCCTAACTTAATAATTGTCGGGGTTCGGAAAAAATGGAAGTAGGTGGAAAGGTGTAATAGTTTGTACTTTTATTTTGAGCTCATCGGTTGACAAGGCAAGCTACATACTACTGTTGTATGTAATAACCAGTCTTTGGATTTGGGATTTAGATTTGTGTGTGAGAGAGAAACAGAGTGTGTGTGTGTGTGTGAGAGAGAGAGAGAGAGAGATTAATAATTAAACCAGCTAGTAGCGATGGGGGCAGATGATATTATGATGGTACGTACAGCAGGGAGGGTTAAGACTTAAGAGGGGGCCACTCAGTGAGTCATGGTGGCAACTGATCGATGATACCTCCTTTACCTGGATCTCAATTTATACAAAGCTAGGTTTCATGACAACATCAACATCAATTGTCTTGTCTAATTACACCCAACTAAATTCCTTTTTTTCTTTTTCTTTTTTTCAATAACTAAATTCCTTATTTATACTCAAAACCAAACTCAATTTCTAAAAGTTGCTTTTTAATTTTTCCTTCATTATTCCATTATTGTGTCCATCTCTTATGCCCTGTTTCTTGGCACAACTACTACTCGATTCCGATGATTAGGAATAATAATAATATAAACCATATTATTACTTGTACAAAAAAAAAAAAAAAAAAAAAAAAAATTCTCCTCTTACTTGAATAATGACGAAATTTTAGGCGGAAACAAAATTAAAGAATCTTTGAATTTTCAAATCTTTGCACTTAAAAAAAGAAAAAAATTAAACTTTTCCAACTCCAAACTGAATTGTTAATTAATCAATCAATCAATCAAATTAAATAAATGTAGGTATTAATTAGATATGAGTGATTGTTATTATTTATATCCTATCCTTTTTATATTATTAATGTGAAAATTCTATCTATCCGAAACGATGATATTTATTTAAAGGAACGTTATCTCAAATGACATTGGTGAGGTGTCAGTCGAGAACTTTCTGACAATCAAATTAGTATTTGTAACCGTGTCATTGAATAATTAAATACTCAATATTTAGGAGGTTTTTTTTTTTTCATACGTGATTTAATGACTCAATACCTTATTTATGATTACCAATTGGAATCAAGATCGTTCCACACATTTTGATGGTTGAATCTCTTATCATTAGTAACAGTATCTGTTGAGGAGATGAAATTAGTTACAATATTATGATTTATTTTATTCTCTTCGTTAGTTGAATAATAATATCTTCATATCTTCAAGAAGGAATGACGATAAGTCAACTTTAGAATTACTTTTTTTCCATCACATATAATAAAAAGAGTTTACTTGAGATAAAAAGGCATGCAAGAGAGAATATGAATGGATAAGCAAGTGAGTAAGGAAAAATTAGTCCAACATACAATTTTGTGAGTCCCAACCTTTCATGCCTTTTTCGTATTTGATAATCGGAATGTTCGTAATTTCATCTCAATTAATTAATAAAACTCGTTTAAAGTGACTTCTCTACGCAAATTCAATAAAGTTTAAATTATGTCCACCCAATCTGACTCTTGGGTTAAAACCTCTCATGCCTTTTTATTTCTTCAAGCAAAATACAATGCAAAAGGACGGTCAATTTGTTCCAATTATATTTTCCCATCAAATGTCATAAAGAAAAGCACCATTCTATTAAATTCTGACGCGTGTTGTTTGGTGAGGTTTGATTTACATGGAAAACATTGATAATTGGAGTCTTGAGGCAACGAACGAAGCGAAGCCACAAAATCCAAAAAACTGATTCGGGCAGAGTCCATTAAGTAGAGAGTGCATTAGGAGGTAGCTGTGTCATTTCAGTAGTTTACAGGGAAAAGACGAAAAGTACATGATGGCACATTGATCACTTATTGGGTAGGTAACTTTCGGTGACCGTCCAATACAATTCAGCCACACCATACAGATAGAGACTAATTAAGAGCTTTAATTGACCCTATGTATTGTATTTGTATTTGATTGCTGGATACACCAATACAAACAATTGTATGTATGTATAATCACATACACGCCCAATAAATAAATATATATATATATATATATATAGCTAGCTTTCTATAAGTTGTTGATTGATAGAGTGGGAGAATGAATATTTGAAGACTTCCATAGACACACAGGACAAAAGATTGATCACCCAACAAATTAAACCTCTCATTCACTCTCTCTCTCTCTCTCTCTCTCTCTGAGGTGTTCCTATCCGGGGTTTGTTTTTGTCATTGAAAAGGTTATAAAGAAAGATTTGAATTGAAGAAGGCATATATTAACAGATCCATCATCCATCAGAAGAAGATTCATTGTTTTGACTCAAATCAAACATATCTCAAAATATATATGGCTGCAACCTTATCAGCATGGCCATGGGAAAACCTGGGCTCCTTCAAGGTATGCAACCTACCTATATATTGTTTCATACTGTTATATTTATTCTTATCTGCCTGCAGCCTATATGGGTTTATATATGGTCACAAATTAATGTTCTTTTTCATTTTTCATGAAAATGTTACAGTATCTGCTATTTGGTCCTTTTCTTGCAAAAGTAATGTATTCTAGACTAATGGAGGATAATAGCATGATGGAGGACATCTGGTGTCTTCATATTCTCATTATATGTGCACTTAGAGGTGTCATATATCAGTACTGGACCTCTTTCGCTAACAGCCTTTTCCTCACTCGAAATCGCCGGATTATCCAACAAGGTGTCGATTTTAACCAGATTGACAAAGAATGGGACTGGTATTATTATTATTATTATTTTATTGTGTAATATTTTATAAATTCTAATCTACATATATAGATTTGCTTATTAATTTTATGTATATTCCATATTTACAGGGATAATTTCATCATTCTTCAAGCTCTCATAGCTTCAATGGGTCGCTACGTGTTCCCCATCCTTACCGATAATAATCTTCCATTGTGGGACACAAGAGGTTTTATTGCAGCAATGTTACTCCACATGGGAGTTTCAGAGCCTCTCTATTATTGGGCACATAAACACTTTCATGGGAAATTTCTTTTTAACCGCTATCATTCATTTCACCATTTATCTACAGTACCCCAGCCCTTTACTGGTAACCCAATCAAATACTAAATTTTTTCCGACTTCATTTTGTCATTTTCATTTTCATTTTTATTTTTATTTTTATTTTTATTTTTATGAGCTTTTCATTAATATATTAATTGCAGCTGGGAGTACCACTTTCTTGGAGCATCTTGTATTAACTGCCATCATTGGGGTTCCGGTAGTAGCAACTTGTGTAATTGGATATGGATCAAAAAGCATGATCTATGCCTATGTGTTGATCTTTGATTTTCTAAGATGTTTGGGCCACTGCAATGTTGAAATTATTCCCTATCAGATTTTTGACACTTTTCCCTTCCTTAGATATCTCCTCTATACCCCAACGTAAGTAATTACATTCATGCATACCTACCTACCTAACTCCACACACACACACATGTGTATATATATATATATGTCACTTTTTTATTTTATTATTTAATTTTTGAACCTAACAAATATGTCTCACAATACTCTTGGAAAGACTAGAATAAAACCTCTACCTTTCAATATGTCTCAATGATATATATACATTACATTTACAACCTCTACCTTTCAATAGGTCTTAATGATATATATACATCACATTTACAAGATACATATCTATACATATAGGATGATAAATATCATTTATGTATGATATAAGATATTTGATAACGTGGACCGTGTTTTATATATATAGAGATCGATATTCATTGGTGAACGCAAATAAGAAAATGATATATCATATTTTTGCTTTTGTACAGATACACTAATGCATGCGCGGGGCCAAGAGAGTGGGTACCACCACATCCACATGCATCCCTAGCTACATAGATAGTGGTGCTGTGTTTTGGCCCAGTGTATGTGATCAGATCGATCACAAGAAATGGTTTCAAATAGTAAAAGACATAAATGGATGATTTGGGGTTAGGTTGATCTTTGTATAACTAGCCCTGGGTGTACCCCAGGATTTTGTAAACTGTCTTGGTTGCTTATACTACCTATTTACTTACGGAACGTCATAACATACGTACACTAAATGTTGAAGTAAATGAATTATTGAATTTATGAACGGGCCAGTGATTTAACGGTAGAGGTCAGGAGTTCAAGTCTCAAAAATGACAAGTGTGTGGGAGTACCAATTACCAAAAAAAAAAAAAAAAAGAATTATTGGATTTTGTGCTGTTTTCCCAAATTAAGATTTATTTGGTTTTTGGGGGCCGGGGTTAATTTACAGGTATCACAGCCTACACCACACAGAGATGGGCACCAATTATTGCCTTTTCATGCCCCTCTACGATGCATTGGGGAACACCCTGAACCCCAAATCATGGGAGCTACACAAGAAAATAACTTCAAATTCAGGTATGCAACGCCCAATGATAATTAACCAGGTCCTGATTACATATAATTATCATAGTATAGATTGGTGGTGAAGGTATATATATTCACAAAGTGAGAAGATTTAGATTAGGTGGGGACTCAATTCTCCATCACCTATACTGTATATTAGGTTGTATGAATATATAAAATGCAAATGAAAGAAAATAAACATGGGAACATGAATGCAGGTGAAAATGGGAGGGTACCGGATTTCGTATTCCTGGCGCATGTGGTGGACATAACATCAGCAATGCACGTGTGCTTCGTTTTCAGGTCATTTGCGTCGAGGCCGTATGCAACCAGGATTTTCCTGTTGCCATTCTGGCCGGTGTGTTTTGTTGTGATGCTAGTGATGTGGGCAAAGTCTAAGACCTTCTTGGTCTCATTCTACAACCTTAGAAATAGGTTGCACCAAACATGGTCTGTACCTCGCTTTGGATTCCAGGTTTGTCATTTACTTAAGTGTCACCATCAGTACTGCATTCCATCTAATTCTGTGTGTATTCAAATTCTAATAGCTAGTATGTGATAATCCATCCAGTACCGTGTTTTTTCCTTGTACCATGCAGTATTTCCTACCATTTGCTAGGGAGGGCATCAATAAACATATAGAGCAGGCTATTCTTCGGGCTGATAGAATGGGTGTTAAAGTCATCAGCCTTGCTGCACTCAATAAGGTTTCTCTCTCTCTCTCTCTCTCTAGATATATATATATATATATATATATATATATCAAATTAAATTGAAGAAACACAATTAAGGGTTGTGTTCTCGTTTGCAATTAATTAACGTTTCAGAAATTTGTGTCACAAGTAATACCCATATATATGCATGTATGAGAAAGAGGCGATGGAGTGAGTAGACATCGTGGATGGATGGATGGGGAAAATAATTAGGCATGATAGATAGTAATGGTTGTTGGATTGTTTAAAAGGGTAGATGTAGAGTAGTGAGGCCGGTGCAGCCCATAAAACTCATTGATTGAATGTGGGTCCTTCGATTGTTATGCAACATATATGGGCCATTTTACAGTTTACAGGCATTGCCAATAACAACTAATTAAGTATGGATCATTGTAATTTATACATGTTCTCTATCTGTTTTGGTAAATTGGTGCACTATTATTTATTTTGGTCAGTGTTCAAGGCAATGTACGTTTGGAACATTTTTAAGGTTCCCCACACTTAATTTGCCAACCTACTTTGCTTCCTAATCCTACAATTTCACACTCTTCATCCATTAATCCACCTACCAATTAAACAATTGCTTATGAGTCACTTCAAGTACTGGTATTTTTATTGTTATTATTATTATTATTATGTAATTTGACATTAACTTGAATCCTATTTACCAAATACTTATGTTGACATATATAGCTGTGCTCGTTAAATAAGCAAGATTTATTTGTACAAGTAATAAGCTAGGAGATTGAATTAATCAGGTTTCAATTTTGTTTTAATTAATGTAGAATGAAGCTCTAAATGGGGGTGGAACCCTCTTTGTGATGAAGCATCCAAATCTTAAAGTTCGGGTTGTCCATGGCAATACCTTGACAGCTGCTGTAATTCTTAATGACATCCCTGAGGATGTCAAAGAGGTGTTTCTAACAGGAGCTACTTCCAAGCTAGGAAGGGCCATTGCCCTCTACCTCTGTAGGCGGAAAGTATCTGTCATGGTAAGTATTTTTCCTATGTATATATATAGTTCTGATAATGGTTAATTATATATCTGTTTTAGGAATTCTGGTAATATTTTTCACAAACAAATACAGTAATTATTATATTATGGTTTTTGACAAAAGATAGTCTCCAAGACCAAATGCTAAAAATGATGTTGATGCTGCCAATGATTATATTATGGTTAAAAAGAATATATATATGTTGATTATAATGGTTCTAATAGGTTGACGGTTGTGCAGATGTTGACTCCATCAACCGAGAGATTCCAAAATATACAGAAGGAAGCTCCTACGGAGTGTCAAAAGTACCTAGTCCAAGTGACAAAGTACCAAGCAGCCAAAAACTGTAAGGTATATATATTCAATTATTCAGTATTCACAAAATTACTGCTAACAGTTGAAAATGTGAAGTTTCATATTAGGAACAACTTGAGTCTTTACAAAGTTGTTTGCACTCGTAGTGTAAATAATGTGTGTGTGTTACGTTGATAGACATGGATAGTTGGTAAATGGATCACACCCAGAGAGCAATGGTTTGCCCCATCAGGAGCACATTTTCACCAGTTTGTAGTCCCACCAATCTTGGCCATCAGAAGAGACTGCACTTATGGTGATCTTGCAGCCATGAGGCTACCTGATGATGTGGAAGGGCTTGGAGTTTGTGAGGTATACAGACGTATGCTTTCATCTTCATCATTTTTGTAGTTGCAACATTATGCATACTTATTATTCAGAATCATGTATATAACTATGTATATTGATGATGAATCATGCATTTTAGTGTATACATATTGTTATAGGAGTAGACAAAATAAGCAAGTTACTTCATTTAATATATATATATATATCCAACCTAGGAAAAGCTAATTGCTTGGAATATTTGTTGGAACAGTATACAATGGATAGAGGAGTAGTCCATGCTTGCCATGCAGGTGGTGTGGTTCATTTCTTAGAAGGGTGGAGTCACCACGAGGTTGGCGCAATCGATGTTGACCGAATTGATTTGGTGTGGAAAGCTGCACTAAAACATGGTCTAAGGCCGGTGTCTGGTGTCAAGAAACAAAACCATTTCTAAATTTTCTTCACGTACTGCTACTACTTGAAGAGATAAAGCATTGGTTAATTGGTACACAGACCATTTGTTCTTCTCTTTGGTAAGGACAAGCCAATTTATTCTTTAATTTTGTCCTTTTTATTGGCAAAAACATTTTGTTTATTCGCAATTTACCTGAGATTTAGATTAAACTGTAATTCAATACTAAACATGTTTTGCTATATTAAATATATATACAGTTCACCAGATTTAACATTGTATACTTTCAACCTCTTCTTTCCTTCTGTTTGATGAAGATATATGTATAATAGATGGAGGTCAGATATATTTAAATAAATTGATGCAGTTTTAAAAAGATGTTGCCTAGCTTGTTTACATGTTCAACATATATATATGTGCTTGGCTTCTGTTTAATGTGTGGTTCAATTGTATATTTTTAATGCATTCAAACGTATATATATATATATAGTTATGTAGGTGCAAGCATCAACATTTGCACGGTAGATTAAAACAAGGACAAATTAAAAAGAAGCATATCATTAGCTCACTTTACAAACTATATGTATACATACATATATATACCAATATAAACTAAAACTGAAATAAATGATATAAATATTAGTGACAATTAAGTGACAGTATCTAAAAGTTTGAAGCTAGGAATGGCAAGAATTTAATTTAAAGAGGTTGGTTGCGGTGGTCCAGGATTAGCTGGTCGATCAAGTCCCCATAAACATTTAGAGTGTGAATAAACCTCAATGAGTCAAAGGGGAGGGTTCATTTTCAGAAAGGCAGTACGATGTGGATGTGCATGTGCAGAAGGAGTCCCAATTCTACCACTTGCATGTGTCACTTACTTGTACATATATATATATATATATATATATATATATATATATATATATATATATATATTGATATATATCATCAGGTAAAAAACGTAGTGTATTTACAGGGAAAGGCAAAAAAAAAAAAGTACTGCGGTTCTATACATGCATGTACATATTCGATTTTATGTAACCTTGGTATTACATTTACACCACATGAATTTCATGAAATAAAAAGAAAAACTCTCTTGGATTGATGATATACGTACGTCGTTCTATCAAGTTTCATTTGATTCATATGAAAGTTAACCAGCCGGATTAGTTAAAAAAAGAAAAAGAAAAAAGACCATCTTTCATCATACTTCAAATAAATTTTAATTTTATGATGAAATTATTTTGATCCCTAAATAAATTGAAAGATTTCATTGGAAAATGCTGGAGTTAGTACGAGAGGACAATCTTCTGATTTTCAATATTGTCATGCATAATATGACAATATTTTTTTTATTTGCAAGAAACTCACATACCCAATTATTAATATCAGGAGGACTCGAACTCTCACCTCTTAACATTGAGAGGTATAAAAAGATACCAGGATAGTGTTATTAAGTGATGTTAGCGGGGATAAACCAAGGTGCAGGTTTAGGATGTCAGTGTAAGAAGGCCCGGCCCACTTAAGATAGTTGAAGTTGGTCCTATTCTTAACCGACCGGCCTTGTTTGATTTAAAGCTTATATTCAAATATTCACATTTTTATGTCACACATGCATTTTCATCGCTCGATCCAGTTGGACCCATTAGTGGGCCTATTGGGCCCCACATTTTATTTTTCAAAAAAGAGCTCTCACAACATGCATTTTCTGTTCGAAACTGAGGTTTATTTCTATTCAAATTCGCTCCACTCTATATTATATATTTACATGTAAATTAATAAAACTCTTGCTGAATATATGGACTAACTAAACAATACAAATAAATAGATATACAAACTTACATACAATATAAATTACTAATTAGTGTTAAAATCATAAAACTCTCACTATTTTTAATTTTTTATCTTAAAATTCTAACTTGTTTCTAAAAATCCCAACACTATTAAAAAGTTATGGCATTGCTCCAATTATGTCAATGAACCATTAATGGTTTGTTAAGTGACTAAATTACCCTTATAATATTCCACTTTATTTAAAATGCAAAAATTGATATTTTACAAATTACAAAATTACCCTCAAACACAAACTTGAATATAATAATTTAGTTCAAGTCAATTTATAAATATTACATTATGTATTAAATTAGAATTTAGTTCATTTAATTTAAATAATTTATTTTTTATCTTTTATTTTTATTTATTTTTTTGTAGAATTCACAATTTGGTAAACAAAAAACTAAATAAGTCATTAAAATGTCATTATATATTTTATATTTTTAAAAAACTGAATCATTTTCATATTTTAAAAAAGTAACTAATTACTACACAATTAAAATATAAAAATTGACAACAATTAGGATAGCTAGTATTTGTTTTCAATATGTTTAAATGACAAACTAATAGATTTTGGATAACCACTAAATTTTGAATAAAATTTTGATTACTAAAGTTTAATTCTTATTTTGCAAAATGGTATACATAATTAATTCTTATTTTGCAAAATGGTATACATAAAAAAACGATTGATTCAAAACTCAATTGGAAGAAGATTTTAAAAGTTAGATTTATTGTATTTCTCGAAAAAGAAATAAATTGAAAGGCCTCATTGTGTTTAAAAAGGAAATGCATAATTTGATGTTACATTTTTTAAATAATTTTTTAAAATATTCTTTTAGTGTCTTCATTCATAAATTTTTTAAAATTTTAATTGAAATATTAAAATAATCATTTTCAATGGATGAGTAAACGGTGGCTTCTATTATTTAACATTTTTAGGGGTATTTTTGGAATAATAAAAATGTGTAATAGCACATAGTTAGCACATATTTCGTAGGGGTAATTTTGTCCTTAAATATATTTTGCCAATGCAAGTTAGCAGTACGCGCTACTTTATTGTCTCAAACTATCATAATTGGGACAATGTGATAACTTTGTAATGGTGTTGAAATTTTTAGAAACATGTTAGAATTTTAATTGAAAATAATAGAGGTTTTATGATTTTAATCTTATAAATAAAATCTAGCTTGTGAGGCTAAGAGATGTGAAGGATGAGATCAGTGCATTAAGTAATACAAGTGAATTTTAGTACGTATTGGGAATTAATTTGTTCAACCAAATGGAATTCTAAGCAAATTTGGTTGAATTATCTTAGCTAGGACCATAATTCAAGGATATATATATATATATATATGCCGATGAATGCATTGATGAATGGGATGCAAGAAAGAGCCTTCATATAATTACTTAATTTGACGAGACATGGCATTGTCCAAAAATAATTGATGATGCCACAAAATGCCCTCCATCTATATGTTTAATTGAGAATTAGGATTTTTTCTGTAAACAATTGATAGGCGTGTACCAAAATTGTGGACAAACTGAGTCCAATTAGGCTAAGGTCACTGTTGGATCGTTGAATTCTAATATAAAGTGTCATCATAATATCGAGCAATTAATTGTACATGCAGTACACTACGTCTTATCATATATTCCACTTCAAATCACAAAATTCAACTCATCTAAGACGCATTTTCCTAATCTTGCCCAAACAATCCAACTTCACCTGCATTTTCCTTTAATTTATGCAACACCCAACAGACATTTTCCTATCTTTATTTCACGCTGAATTTAACATTATAAGCCATCTCTAAATATTTCCTTTCACAATTCAAAATATATAAATTCAATTTACAACAAATCTCAATTGTTACCTAGGAAGAAAAACTAAAAAAAAATTCAATTTTAAAAAAAAATAATTAAGGGCCTTCTAAAATAGATAGTCGATGGTTCAAGGTCTCCGTATGGACTGAGAAGAAGAAGAAGAAGAAATAAACATTTTAGAAATTATTAGATGGTCTTGGTCTATTTGATACTTGCTGAATTAATTCAATAAAAACTAATGTTGAAATTTCTTTCTAATATATTATTAATACACTCTTGAAATATACATTTAATCGATCCACTAAGTATTAATAGTTTAAAAACATCTAATAATTGATCGTGGTACGCCAAACTTTACAGCCAAGAACAGGGCATCAAAACAGCGGTACTACATGTAGTAAAAAGTAAATATATCTAACTTTCGAGAACATAAAAGGCCATTCTTTAGATGTGAAAACTATAGGAATTCAAGAAAAAGGAAGGTAATGTTTTACTGGATAAATACAGAAACATGGAATTTTGGAGGCTAATTTACAAAGTCATTGAATCAAAGTCGATGTTTTTTTTAGGTCATGAATTTTTCTGAAAGTCTGATATGGACATGGAAAAACATTATTCATTTATCCAAACTACCTTTAATATTCACATATACCATTTTTTTATTATTATTTTTTTTTACTGTAATTACCATTCTTATACATAAAGGTACCAACTCTTGTGTAGAGATGGCAATGGGCAGTTTGGGCAAGAAAGCCATCCAAATCACCGTTTAGCATAGCTACTCCAATTCCTATTCAAAAAAGTAATTTCGGAGTTATATTACGAATCTAACAAAAGAAATTAAAGAAACAAATTTTCAATTATTGTAATATTTTTTTTTATCTCATAAAAGCAAGATTCAACTTCTCAATTAAAATTTGAGACTTAATATTATTGTTAGATTATCAAAATAATACATAAAAGTTTTCAAATAAGAATAATATAAAATGATATCTATTTAGAGCATCTCCAACGGTTGTGTATATATTTTTGTGTAAATCTTATATGTAAGAGTAAATTTACATAAAAAATTTTATATTACCTATTTTTAGCTCTAACCATTGTTTTATATTTTTTGTGTAAAAAAATATCTCCTAGTAACAACCAAACACGTATCATACCCAAGACCTACATAACTTTTACAAACCTACTTGATTCACTTTACTTTTTCGCGATTAAACCTCACGTCCCAATCCTCCTTAATTAGAAAAATAATAATGATGTCTTCCTATATTTCACTTTTTCATCCCGCTAATAGCAAACCTTTCTCGCGGCCATTAGAATTCTAACTTAATAATAAATAATAAGATAAGATTCAAGTATGTAGAAATTATGAAAACCAAAAATATGCAACAACAATTGTGATTGAATTGACTAATCACCAAAAAAGAAAAAAAAAATAATAATTTGTATAACTGTATCAAACAACAATTATATAAAATTGTGATTAAAATATATATCTAATCTTTGGCTAGTACATATTTTATTAGAATAGAATGTAAAAGGATTAAAAATCTAAAAAAAAACCCTAGAATCTATAGCGGTGATTGCAGAAGATAAGATCAAACGAAAGCGATGAATCAAACTATTTTTATTAAAAAAGAAAAATAAAAATAAAAGATGGTCGAGCAGTTCTTACCTTGCCACCTGTTGCAGATTTTTAATTTCTCTATGGCG